TATGGACAAACAGGTCACACTTACCCATTATTAAGATAGCTTCCTCAATTATCACTTCTAATATCATTAGCTCACAGACATTTACCTTCCCCCCCCAGGATTTGTCCTTTTCATATGTGTTCATTTTTTTAAAATTGTATCCTTTGGTATATATGGTTGTGACAATTTTCTTCCACTATTTGATCTGAGGAAGTGGGTCTGGCCCATGAAAGCTCATCACCTAATAAACCATCTTGTTAGTCTTTACAGTGCTACATAGTCTTGTTATTTGATTCATCTAGCCCAGACTAACATGGCTACATTTCTATCATTTTTTTAATGTGGGTCTTTTCATTCTGTAATCTGTTTCAAGGTCTCTTGTATTTTGTCTGACAGGATCTATCTAATTGGAAATCTTTACTGAGCGGATGGGCAAATAAATAATAGGCAGGAATCTTTAAGTTTTATGTGTGTCCTTCTGGATTATTAATAGATTATGATAAAGGAAAATGAAAGGGAAAGCAGGAGGCACATAAAACTATTTTACACGCTGTTTATTCAATCTTCCACCTCTTTTGCATGATAGTAATGTCACATTTTTCAGGCAATACCAGCCTAGATGGGAGAGTTTGCATAATTCATTACTGCTGCCCTGTGGAGACTGAAATAATGCATGTTGATTAATATGAACTATGACAGGATGATGAGTTATTGCATTATCAGAATTAAGTCCTTTTAAAATTCAGTCCAGCCTGTTAGCAATGTTTTGTAGCATATTGAAGTCATGCCTATAATATCTGCAGGGGCAAGGTTCCTGAGGCAAGCGCTTGCTCTCACTTTGAGGAATGTCTTTCTGTAAAATTGAGTTGGAACCAAATTATCCTCTTATAGAATCATAGAACACTAGGACTGGAAGGGACCCCGAGAGGTCATCGAGTCCAGTCCCCTGCCCTCATGGCAGGACCCAGTATCATAGACCATCCCTGATAGATGTCTCTCTAACCTGCTCTTAAATATCTCCAGAGACGGAGATTCCACAACCTCTCTGGGCAACTTATTCCAGTGTTTAACCACCTTGACAGTTAGGAACTTTTTCCTCATGTTCAACCTAAACCTCCTTTGCTGCAGTTTAAGCCCTATCACCAGAGGCGAAGGAGAACAATTTTTCTCCCTCTTCCTTGTGACATCCTTTTAGATGTCCTTGTGGTATCGTTTTAGATACCTGAAAACTGCTATCATGTCCCCTCTGTCTTCTCCTTTTCAAACTAAACAAGCCAAATTCTTTCAGTCTTCCTTCATAGGTCATGTTCTCTAGATCTTTAATCATTCTGCTCTTCTCTGGACCTTCTTCAATTTCTCCACATCTTTCTTAGTCCCTAATTACAGAATCATAGAATCAGAGATTAGGGTTGGAAGACACCCCGGAGATCATCTAATCCAGTGCCCTGCTCAAAGCAGGACCAATCCATACTAAATTATCCCAGCCGGGGCTTTGTCAAGCCTGGCCTTGAAAACCTCTAGGGATAGAGAGTCTACCACCTCCCTAGGCAGCCCATTCCTATGCTTCACCTCCTTCCTAAGGAAATAGTTTTTTCCTAATATCCAATCTAGACCTTCCCACATTGCAACTTGAGATCATTGATTCTGTGACAAGTGCTATAGGTCTCAGGGCTAAGCCACCTAGGTGCCATAGACAATATGACCTCTGTAGGATTGGGGCTGGGCATCCAGAGTCTGTACAGGAGCCCATTTGGTTAGAGCTGGGCAGGCTAGTAGCCAGTGGCAATACAACCATCGTAGGCGGGAATCATAGGACTGGAAGGGACCTTGAGAAGTCACTGAGTCCAGTGCTCTGCCCTCACAGCAGGACTTAGCACTATCTAGATCAATCCTGACACGTTTCTATCTAACCTGCTCTTAAATATCTCCAGAGACGGAGATTCCACAACCTCTCTGGGCAACTTATTCCAGTGTTTAACCACCTTGACAGTTAGGAACTTTTTCCTCATGTTCAACCTAAACCTCCTTTGCTGCAGTTTAAGCCCTATCACCAGAGGCGAAGGAGAACAATTTTTCTCCCTCTTCCTTGTGACATCCTTTTAGATGTCCTTGTGGTATCGTTTTAGATACCTGAAAACTGCTATCATGTCCCCTCTGTCTTCTCCTTTTCAAACTAAACAAGCCAAATTCTTTCAGTCTTCCTTCATAGGTCATGTTCTCTAGATCTTTAATCATTCTGCTCTTCTCTGGACCTTCTTCAATTTCTCCACATCTTTCTTAGTCCCTAATTACAGAATCATAGAATCAGAGATTAGGGTTGGAAGACACCCCGGAGATCATCTAATCCAGTGCCCTGCTCAAAGCAGGACCAATCCATACTAAATTATCCCAGCCGGGGCTTTGTCAAGCCTGGCCTTGAAAACCTCTAGGGATAGAGAGTCTACCACCTCCCTAGGCAGCCCATTCCTATGCTTCACCTCCTTCCTAAGGAAATAGTTTTTTCCTAATATCCAATCTAGACCTTCCCACATTGCAACTTGAGATCATTGATTCTGTGACAAGTGCTATAGGTCTCAGGGCTAAGCCACCTAGGTGCCATAGACAATATGACCTCTGTAGGATTGGGGCTGGGCATCCAGAGTCTGTACAGGAGCCCATTTGGTTAGAGCTGGGCAGGCTAGTAGCCAGTGGCAATACAACCATCGTAGGCGGGAATCATAGGACTGGAAGGGACCTTGAGAAGTCACTGAGTCCAGTGCTCTGCCCTCACAGCAGGACTTAGCACTATCTAGATCAATCCTGACACGTTTCTATCTAACCTGCTCTTAAATATCTCCAGTGATGGAGATTCCACAACCCCCCTAGCAATTTATTCCAGTGGGAACTCACCCTTTTTGTGGTCACTGCTTTCCAGATTGATATCTATTTCTACTTCCAGGATCATGGCCTGTAGTTCCTTGATTCCTTCAGCACTAGCACCAGGAAGTTGTCCCCAACACTGTCCAAAAACTTCCTGGTTTGTCTGTGTACTGCTATATTGCTCTCCCAACAGGTGTCAGGGTGATTGAAGTCCCCCATGAGAACCAGGGCTTCTGATGTGGAAACTTTAGTTAGTTGTCTGAAAAAACTACTCATCTACCTTATCCTCTTGGTCTGGTGGTCTTCTAGAAGATGCCGATCACGACATCACCCCATGGTGCTATAATGTCTAAACTTAACTCAAAGGTTCTCAACAGGCTTAGTTAATTTTATGCTCAGGTATATAGTTATGAAATGAATATGTGCAAATATTGATGTGGGAAAAATGAAGTCTTAGGTTGCAGAGACTTTGAAACAATAGTCCTTCTTTGAGTGATGGCCCCTATGTGGGAGTCCAAATGAGGGTGCTCCTGAGTGCCATGGGCTTGGGCTGGAGCTGGAACTGTTCATAGTAGTGTCTATTGACCTGCTTGTGTGCCCACCATGTGGCACATTCCCAGCTTTAAGAGGCTATGTGGGTCTCCACCGCTCCAGTTCCGTCTTACCGCCACATGTTCAGGATCACCAGCAAGCCATTGGCAGAGTCAGGAATAGAGTCCAGGTCTCTGGAGTCGCAATCTAGTGTTTCTGAAAGGGCGAAATGGAGCCAATAGGAGCCGTGAGGCTCCGTGGCCACGGCACCAGTAAATAAACAGACCGGGGCAGCCAGTTAATGTGTTTGTGAAAGTGATTTTGCAGAACACTTTCAGAAGCACTGCTTTATAAGACATACTCCCAAGTGGCAACATTATGGTGGTGGACCCTCAGCTCCTGTGAATGGAGCTACAACAATTCACCTACGTGGAGGTGGGATGGTTCCCGCCCGCTGAGGAAGGGCTTGGTAGTTGACACAGTTCCCTTAATTCTGGATTCTATTGCTTTGGTCTTCAAAATCTCCACTGAAACAGTGGGCCTGACACTCCTTCTCTGATGCTCATTCAGCACCAGAAAATGGCAGTGGTGGCTCTGCCTTTACTCCTAATTTACATAGCAGTGAGAGGAGAATCTGGCCAGTGTGAATAGGTTTGAATACAGGTGGCCTACTTCTGTTCTCATCTCCATGCAAGGTCTCTATTCAACAGAATATTTAAACATAGACTTAAAGGTGAGCAACTGCTTACATGCTTTGCTGAAGCATGTGCTCCAAGGCTGTTGTGTGCTTACGTGCTTTGCTGAGTCAGGACTTAAGTCAGGAGTAACGGCGAAGTTGTCTATTGGGGAAGTTAGTGAAGCATAAGCTAGGGTGTGACTTGAAATATACCAGCTACTCCACACTAGCCCCCGAATAGACAGTCTTTCTCCACACTAAGAGTGCCTTTGTGCACTTTGAGCTGAATACAGCGCCAGCCCTGATGAAAGATCCCCTATAGAGGCACTGTTAGCAAAGGAAGGTAGGGTGCGTATGAAGCTAGGGAAGGATAAAGAAACACAGAGTGTTGGGAAGAACAGGAGTTAGCATGTCCAGTTTGGGGGAATCAGCATGGGAGATCCCAGCTGAGGCAGGATTTGGGGAAGAAAAAGGATTGGATAGGTAAGCATATGTGATGTGTCAAGAAGAAGGATGGGAGTGAAATTAACATGTCTCACCACAGTGACTTTATGAAAAAGGCAGTTAGTATTAGGTGAAGAACCTATTTGCAGTTGCTTGCTTTCCATATATGTGCGTTCACTACATTACCATTGCAGAAAAATCAGTGCCATTGTTGAACATCTCTATCAGAGGACTGGTCATAAATCTTAGAATTAGAGAATATTGCTGTTTTGCTCACACCTGAAACACTGGAGCCATTTTTATCTCTGGTTTGGGAAGAGCACACTGTAGAAAAATTGTTAATCATGATAAAAGTGTGAAGGCCGTGGTATCTAAAGTGCTTTAATGTTCCCATACTGTAGTAGGATTCTGTTGCTCATGAAGCTAATTGGATTCCTTCTGCTGCTCGCTCTGTTGTGTAAATGATATCTGAGTTTGCCAGACTGATGTGGTGTGTGTTATTTCCCTGTAGGATTACATCCACCAGGTAATCTGCATCACGGAAAGAGAAAAGTTTATTGTGCCTATCCGAGCTATAGGGGCCCGGGCAATACTGGATTTCCCTGACCAGCTGAACTTCTCCACCTGCCCTGTCAAGTACAGCACTCAGAAAATTCTACTGGTTTGCAACATTGGCAATCGAGAGGCCCGCTACAGAATCAGTCTTCAGAGGTAAAGGGGGCTTTGGTTGGTCTTCATGTGCTCACCTTTCTTGCTGAAGGCTGTGTAGGATAGCAAAAAGGAATAGAGCAATCAGATACATTGCAGCATGTTCTGCCTACTGGGATATGCTTAGAGCATGCCAGATTTTTCCTGTAATTGCTTCACTTTTACCTGTGATGGGGGGAAAAGAATCATAGAATACTAGGACTGGAAGGGACCTCGAGAGGTTGAGTCCAGTCCCCTGCCTTCATGGCAGGACCCAGTACTGTCTAGACCATCCCTGATAGACATTTATCTAACCTACTCTTAAATATCTCCACAGATGGAGATTCCACAACCTCCCTGGGCTATTTATCCCAGTGTTTAACCACCCTGACAGTTAGAAACTTTTTCCTAATGTCCAACCTAAACCTCCCTTGCTGCAGTTTAAGCCCATTGATTCTTGTTCTATCCCCGGAGGCCAAGATGAACAAGTTTTCTCCCTCCTCCTTATGACACCCTTTTCGATATCTGAAAACTGCTATCATGTCCCCCCTCAGTTTTCTCTTTTCTAGACTAAACAAACCCAATTCCTTCAGCCTTCCCTCATAAGTCATGTTCTCTAGACCTTTAATCATTCTCGTTGCTCTTCTCTGGAACTTCTCCAATTTCTCCACATCCTTCTTGAAATGTGGTGCCCAGAACTGAACACAATACCCCAACTGAGGCCTAACCAGCGCAGAATAGAATGGAAGAATGAGTTCTCATGTCTTGCTCACAGCATCCCAGAATCATGTTTGCTTTCTTTGCAACAGCATCACACTGCTGACTCATATTCAACGTAAGGGCCACTATAACCCCTAGATCCCTTTCTGCTGTACTCCTTCCCAGACAGTCACCTCCCATCTTGTATGTATGAAACTGATTTGTTCCTTTCTAAATGGAGCACTTTGCATTTGTCTTTATTAATCTTCATCCTATTTACCGCAGACCATTTCTCCAATTTGTCCAGGTCATTTTGAATTATGACCCTATCCTCCAGATTAGTCACAACCCCTCCCAGCTTGGTATCATTTGGAAACTTAATAAGCGTACTTTCTATACCAATATCTAAACGTTGATGAAGATATTAAACAAAGCAGGTCCCAAAACAGACCCCTGCGGAACCCCACCTGTTATGCCTTACCAGCAGCATTGTGAACCATTAATATCTACTCTCTGAGTACGGTTCTCTAGCCAGTTATGCACTCACCTTATAGTAGCCCCATCTAAGTTGTATTTACCTAGTTTATTGATAAGAATATCATGCGAGATCTTATCAAACGCCTTACTAAAGTCTAGGTATACCACATCCACCGCATCTCCCTTATTCACAAGACTCGTTACCCTATTAAAGAAAGCTATCGGATTGGTTTGACATGATTTGTTCTTTACAAATCCATGCTGGCTGTTCCCTATCACCGTGCCACTTTCCAAGTGTTTACAGGTGATTTCCTTAATTACTTGCTCCATTATCTTCCCTGGCACAGAAGTTAAACTAACTGGTCTGTAGTTTCCTGGGTTGTTGTTCTTTCCCTTTTTATAAGATGAGCACTATATTTGCCTTCTTCCAGTCCTCTGGAATCTCTCCCATCTCCCATGATTTTCCAGAGATGATAGCTAGAGGCTCAGATACCTCCTCTATCAGCTCCTTGAGAATTCTAGGATGCATTTCATCAGGCCCTGGTGACTTGCAGGCATCTAACTTTTCTAGGTGATTTTTAACTTGTTCTTTTTAAAACTACCCCCTTCCCACTAGCATTCACTATGTTAGGTGTTCCTTCAGACTTCTCCGTGAAGACCAAAACAAAGAAGTCATTGAGCATCTCTACCATTCAAAAATGTCAGTTTGAGTCTTCATCCTGTGTCTATGGTGGGTTGCAGAGTTGTAGAGCATGTGGTTGTGTGTGCGCCATGAAAATACCATGCACCAAGCCTGTCAGATTTAAAGGAAAAAATCTTGTTGCAGTGTTGTAGGTAAAGATTCGGGTAAGTGAATGGTAGCTGAATCCTTCTCCCACTATGGAATATAAGGGGAAGGAGCTGTTGTCAGTTGTTGGCTGCAGGTGTGTTCTCTGTGTGCGGCGCCAACTCTGGCCAGGTAACTGGTGCAGTAAACTCCAGTCAAACTGCCCAAGAAGACCACAAGCTTGGTTCAGTAGTGAAAGCACTTGGCCAATTTGTTGTCTGTGAAGCATGGTGCCAGTACCCTGTTTCAATGGTTATGATACACTCAGTTCATTTCAATGAACTAACTCTGTAAATGGAGGGAGACTTTCCTTTCCCCCTTTGGCCAGACAGACACTCCTTTGGTGACACAAAGACATCGATACAAACAAGTTCTATGTTCCTCCTCTGAGGTGGTTACTTAATCTTTACCTTGCACCTGTTGGTTCAATCAATGCATGTCTATCCATCACACTGTCATCCTGACCTTATCCCTAAGAGAGGTCAGTTTGTCCCTTTGGGGAGTGTATGCACACCATAAACGTGTATTGGAAGGTTCTGGTAAGGTTGCCAGGTGTCTGGTTTTTGACTGGAACACTCAGTCAAAAAGGGACCCTGATGGCTCCAATCAGCACTGCCAACCAAACTGTTACAAGTCCAGTTGGTGGCACAATTGGGGCTGGAGCCTTAGGCAGACTCCCTATTTTCCCTGGGTCTTCCCAGCTCCTAGAAGCAGCCACCAGGCCCTTGCATCCCCATAGTTGCAGGGAGGCTCTATGTTCAATCTAGTTTTGCAACATGAAATTGATGGAAAACTTGTTCAAATAATCTTGAACTGCGAGAAAAATCCAGCTGACTCCTATGAATAAAACTATCACCTGGACTTCACATGCATTGGCTGTCTGAAGATAAAAAGATAAGATTTCCCTTGTTGTCAAATAGTTGTGGGAAATCTGTCATGTTTTGCAATTTATTAATTTTCCAAAAACAGTCTGGATTTTCAAGCAGAAAATGTACATCTTTAAGTACAAGCAGCATTTATGCTAATTAGAAAGAGGAGCCACTCTCCTGTTCCGATTCTTTTAAAATACTTATCTGCTCTTTCATCATTGTGACTGCAGTAGGGTTTCAGGTTTTTTTAAGTACCAAAAATATTCAATGACATGTCAAGAAGAACTGAGTGCTGGCCCTCCAAGCAAAACTGACCACAATACATCACTGCACAGGATAATAAATCATTAATTGGCAATTATGTACGAATAAATATGTCTACATAGACTTTCCTCAGAGTCAGGCTCTGTTTCTGTTAACAGTAAGGGGTTTAATTTCCCTACTGTGTGGGCTGCCTTAGAGATGATTGTGGTGTTACTAACCATGCAGATGATGGTGATAAAGTTTAGCTTGCTCTTTTGAACATCTTCTGAAGTAACTTGAGGATGGCGATTGACTATTATCTTTAAGCAGTCAGATTTGTGCCAGGAGTTTCACAAATAAATGAGAAATGTTTTCTCTGTCCTGGAGAGCTGGCTGTTGTAAACACAAGATGGAATGCAATAGTGAGAGCAACAGTGTAGAGTACAGGGGAAGGTAGTACCAGAGTTAAAAGTACACACCCAAATTCAGCTAAATATGTAAGCGCATGCTTAACTCCATCTCTATTCAATAAAGTACCTAAGCACATGCCTAAAGTTAAGCATGCACTCAAAGTCTTCGCTGAATAAGAATGGACTGTTGAATTGGGGGCATTGCGTTCTTTCCCTGGAGGTGACTCGAAGTGCCCTTAATGTGTGCGCGTTAGAGTTCAATGAATGATTTTTTCTTTTGATGGCTAAATTGTGGGCAAAAAGTTCAGTTAACGTCTAATTTAAACTGAGTTTTTTCTTTTTTTCTTCCTGAAACAAAATTTTGTAAAAAATGTAGTTGGGTGGAAAGGATATATTTTGAATGATAATTGGAAAAGACCATTTTGGAAGTGTTTGTTTTCAGGCTTTTTTTTGACTGGAACTATTTGCCATATTTCCCCCTAAAATTAAGGTTGCCAGATGTCTGGTATTGACCCAGACAGTTCGGCATTTTTGCCTTCTGTCTGGTAAAAAAAAAATTCAGAAAATACCGGACACCTAAAATGTCTGGTATTTTCTGATTTTTTTTCCTGGACAGGAGGCAAAAATACCGGGTGCTTACCTGGTTCCGCAGGGGAGCTGTCTGACCCAGAGCAGGAAGACAAGATGGTGGGCGGCTGCCGGCAGCCTGTTAGGGCCAAAAAGCTTCAAAAGGGGCCATGCTGGTTTTTTATTTAATTAATTTACTTGCTTAATAATTCTCGGTCTTTTTTTTTTCTTCTTCTTAAAGCTCAACAACTTTGGTCTCCCCCCATTTTTTCCTCAACAGAATTTTTTCCCAGTGTTTTTTTTGGGGTGGTGGTGAGGAGGAGGGTGTTCAGTATTTTTGGTTAAACCATCTGGCAACCCTACCTAAAATTACCCAACTCTAGTATCCATGTGTGTATTTTTTTTTAATGGAGGAATTGATGGAGAGTGGAATGGAACTAGAGTGTTTTGTAAGGGCATATAAATGTAGTCCCCTTACTAAGGTGCCTCTGACTTTTTCTGTGAGGATTCTGTGTGCCGCAATCTAGCCCTAGAAACTACAACTCCCATTAGCCCTTGAGGAAACCAGGAAGAGAAGGCTTGTCCAGGCATGTTGAGTCTGGGGCTCTCCATTTTGGGAGAAAGGAGCCAGACTGCTATTGAACAGACTTATATCCAGCCCAGGAGCTGTTGTGTTGCGGCTACAGCCTGGGACTGAAAGTCTGTGGTGCTTGCATCTAGCAGGCTGCTGATTGCCCTAGAGGGGAGAGACTCTGGCTGCGCCTGTGGCTAAGGAGGACTGCACAAAAACCTGCACACAGGAGGAGGCTGTAAGTAAATGGCCTCTTTGGAAAAGTGCTACCTGGGACAGACCTCAGAGATATAGACTAAGTCTGAGTCCAAAGAGAGGCAGAGTGTCCAGCCCAGTGAACTAACTTCTGGCATTTGGTAGAG